GAAGGAAGGAAGGAAGGAAGGAAGGAAGGAAGGAAGGAAGGAAGGAAGGGAGCAATAGCAATAGTGCTTAGACTTATATACCGCTTCAAAGTGCTTTTACAGCCCTCTCTAAGCAGTTTACAGAGTCAGCCTCTTGGCCCCCAAACAATCTGGGTCCTCATTTTACCCACCTCGGAAGGATGGAAGGCTGAGTCAACCTTGAGCCTGGTGAGATTCACACTGCCAAATTTCAGGCAGCCTGCAGTCAGCAGAAGTAGCCTGCAGTATTGCACTCTAACCACAAGGAAAGAAGGAAGAAGGAAGGAATAGCAATAGCACTTAGACTTATATACCGCTTTACAATGCTTTACAGCCCACTCTAAGCGGTTTTACAGAGTCAGCCTCTTGCCCCCAACAATGTGGGTCTTCATTTTACCCACCTCGGAGGTATGGAAGGCTGAGTCAGCCTCAATTTAAAATCTTCAAAGCCACACATTCAAACATCAATACCAGTAGTCCTCTGCTGAACCCAACATTTACGTGGCTAAGTGAGACAACTGTGAGATTTTGCCCCATTTTACGACTTTTCTTGCCACGGTTGTTAAGTGAATCACTGCAGTTGTTAAGTTAGTAACATGTTTGTGAAGGGAATCTGGCTTCTCCATCGACTCTGCTTGTCAGAAGGTCGAAAAAGGGAATCACATGAACCCAGGACACTGCGACTGTCATAAATGTGAGCTCCAAATTTTGATCACGTGACTATGGGGATGCTGCAATGGTCGTAAGTGTGAAAAACTGTCATAAGACACTTTTTTCAGAATAGAATAGAATTTAATTCTACAGAATAGAATAGAATAGAATAGAATAGAATAGAATAGAATAGAATAGAATAGAATAGAATAGAATAGAATAGAAGTGGAGAGGAGAGGAGAGGAAAAGAGAAGAGAAGAGTAAGTAGAGTAGAGTAGAGTAGAGTAGAGTAGAGTAGAGTAGAGTAGAGTAGAGTAGAGTAGAGTAGAGTAGAGTAGAGTAGAGTAGAATCCTTTATTGGCCAAGTGTGATTGGATACACAAGGAATTGGTCTTTGGTGCATAAACTCTCACTGTCCATAAAAGAAAAGATGCATTCGTCACAAATCATAAGGTACAACACTTAATGATAGTGCCGATGTAATGTCAAAATGGCCACTAAATGAACTATCGATGACTAGTGATAGAAATCATAGAACAACAGAGTTGGAAGGGACTTTGGGGGTCTTCTAGTCCAACCCCCTCCTTAAGCAGGAAACCCTATGCCACTACCTATAGTTAGTAATAATCCAGCAATTTTAGACCCGCAGAACAGTTGGGATGTCCCTCAGAAGAAATGGGTAAATGGAAAAACATGGAAATCACAAGGAAGCCCCACTTCTGAAAGGGAGAACAAAAACTGTAGATCTCCTACCACTCTGATTAAGCGTCCAGACTTGGCATCCAACACTAGAATCTTCTGGGAGGAGGTGGACACCAAAAGATGGCCGAGAGGGAAAGGGGTGAAGCAAAGTTTCATTGCAACATCGAGGGCCGTGCTGTCCAGATCCAGGATGCTCACGTCGATCCTTAGCAGCTGAGATGCATAAATAAGAATTTAACATTACGCTCTGTTTACTCAAACTAAATTTGTACTAAGCCAGAAAATGGACAAAGAAGCTAGGGATGGCAACCATCGGAGGTCAGGTGAAGAGAACGACACCCTTATGTCTTGGATTTATATTCCTTTTTTTTACCCTAGGAGCTCAAAGTACACAGCGTGACGTGATCTGGTGGTGTCAGATGCACCATTTGTCAGTGATCTTTGACACGTAATCGCGACACAGATACTTTGATATTTGAGCTTATATATGTGGATGCTGTGGATGAGAATGTGCCTGCTGAATATAACTCTGCATTGGCGACAGGAAGGGCATCTGGACAGTAAAGACTCAACTCCATTCAGTTGCCCAGAGTCCATCCCACAAGGGGTCATTAAAAGAAGATGATATGTGGATGCTGTGCATATATGTGTGTCTAAGTACATGTCTATTTATGTGTATGAGTAGGAGGGAGAGGAGATAAATGAATAGATAGATAGATAGATAGATAGATAGATAGATAGATAGATAGATAGATAGATAGATAGATAGATAGATAGATAGATAGATAGATAGATAGANCTTCCTTCCTTCCTTCCTTCCTTCCTTCCTTCCTTCCTTCCTTCGAATGCAGTATTGCAGGCTAACTCTGCCGACTGCCAGCAGTTCGATCCTGATTGGCTCAAGGTTGACTCAGCCTTCCATCCTTCTGAGGTGGGTAAAATGAGGACCCAGATTGTTGGGGAAAATAATAGACTGACATTGTAAACCGCTTAGAGAGGGCTGTAAAGCACTATGAAGTGGTGTATAAGTCTAAGTGCTATTGCTTGCTACGGGAGATGCAACACCCACTGTGTTACTCAAAAGCAAATGCCAACTTACCAACTGGAAGAAGCGCTAAGGGCCTAGGGGAATCGATCCTGCAATGAGAACAGAGTCCAAATGAGATGAAAAGATTCAAATCTAGAGGTGGGTTCAGAAAAAGTATCTTCAAGGTGTTAATGAAGAAACACTGAGTTCTTACTCATCCCTGAAGGTCTCCTCTGCGAAGACGCCTAGGAAATCCCACAGGAAGATGGCATCTCCAACACTGAAGACCTGCTTTTGGTCAGCAGTGAACCTCACCTGCTGTATTGGTTCAGAGTGACCAATGAACACCTGGGAGAAAGAAAAGCAGAAGACCAACTTTCTCCTTCAGAGCTTCATTTGCATGGCTTGGGGTTAACATTGTTCCTAGGTAGGGTTTATCACTAGAGCAGGGGTGTCAAACACAGGGCCTGCAGGCCGGATCTGACCGGCAATGTGGTCAGATCCAGCCCAAAAGGCCGACCTGGAAAATGTAATGGGCTGGCCTGTGTCGCATCGGCCCGGACTACCCAATACGAAGAGGAAACATGCCAACAGTTTGGAGAGTTGTGTCAAGCTGGCCACGCCCATCCAGTCAGCCATGCCCAGTGAATGGTGTCAAGCTGGCCATGCCCACCCAGTCAGCCATACCCACCCGCTCCCTCAAAGTCAACCACAGTCCTGATGTGGCCCTCAATTAATGTCAGGGTAGTGAAGATTTAATAGCTGCTGTAAGGCTGTAAACCGAGATGATGACGAGTCAGCAGGGTCACTGCCACTTTAAGAAGCTGTATATATAAGGGAGGCCATGTGAGGGCATCTCTCTCTCTTCTCTCCAGCAAATAATTACTCATTGCACCCAGAGAGAGAACTACCTGCCACTACAAAGGATCGAACTCATAGTCTCCTGATTGTGAGGTGAAAGCTCCATTCCTAGGCTACCACACCACTCAGAGATATTAATTAATAATTAGAAGGTAAGAGCAGCAAATATTTATCTAAACCTTAATTATTTAAGTCATGTAGCGGATAACTTATTCTACCCCCTCTCCCTTTTCTCCATCTCCATCTCTCTCNCTGTGTCCGTAAATCCTCCCTTGAAAGACTTTGCTGGATGTGAATGAGCAGAATTCACAGCAAATTAATAAAAGGGTTTTTTGTCGGGACCAGGAGTTTGCTTCATGCTCTTGGGAAGCCTAGGTCAGAACAATTACATGTCCCCAGGAGCGGTGATAAGTATGAACCAGTTGCCAAGCATCTGAATATTGATCACGTGATACTAGGGAACATTAGGAAGGTCATGAGGGTGAAAAACGATCCTAAGTCACTTTTTCCAGCATTTTTGTAACTTTGAACGGTCATTGACCGAACCGTTGTAATTCGAGGACTATCTGTAAAGGCTATCTCATCTTATTATTAAAAGGAGACTGGAGACTAAAACATACGCAGAACAGCTGCGGAATTTGGGTTTGGCTAGTCTAAAGAAAAGAAGGATTAAAGAAGACATGATAGCAGTGCTCTAATATTTGATATGCTGCAGCAAAGAAGTGGGGGTCCAATTATTCTACAAAGCACCAGAGGGCAGGACAAGAAACAATGGTTGGAAACTAATCAAAAAGAGAAGCAACCTGGAATTAAGGAGAAACTTCCTAACAGTGAGAACAATTATCCAGTGGAAGAGCTTGCCACTAGCAGTTGTGGGTGCTCCATTACTGGATGTCTTTAAGAAGAGTCTAGACCAGGGGTCGGCAACCTTAAACACTCAAAGAGCCATTTGGACACATTTCCCACAGAAAACACCGGGAGCCACAAAACCATTCCGGTGCCTGACTATTTCTGGAGCGGCCACAAAACTAGCATATGCGGTTGAATTAAACGTTCTGTTTTCTTCTGAAACTTCTATTTTCTTGGATTTATCCATGTTGGCCTACCAAGAGTCAAAAACCTCAATAAATCGTGTGCCAGCAAGTGTCGCACATTGGTAGTTGTGACGCATATTTTGAGCGACAGGGAGCCGCAGCAGAGGGATGAAAGAGCCACATGTGGCTCCAGAGCCGTGGGTTGCTGACCCCTGGTCTAGACAGTCACTTATCTGAAATGGTATAGGATCTCCTGCTTGAGTAGAGTGCTGGACTAGAAGACTTCCAGCTCATTCTATTCTAATTCTAATATTATATGAAATGTAACACAGTGCGGAGACTCACCAATCTCGCCGTCCACGGCCTCCCAAGTCATGAAGCAGCAATTTGTCTCAGTGTCCCAGCTGCAGATCTGTCCTGTGCTTGTCCCAGTGTAGAGCAGGCAACCAGAGCTGTAGCACATGGATGTGAGCTCCACCCCGCCAATAGCATCAGGAGCAGGGACTCGCTGGACCTGAAGAATGGAGGACGATTACATGCATAATAGACACTGCAAAAGTAGCCCAAGGAGGCCTTGGATCTCTTATCACTCACAAGGCTGAAGGCTTTGACTATTTTATTTTATTTATTTATTTTATTTATTTTGTCAAACATGTACAAGGCAACAAGTATAGGTATCAACATAAACATGAACAAAGGAAGTAAATACAGATAAATGGGGACAGTCAGACAGGGATGGTAGGCACGCTGGTGGGTTTATGCATGCCCCCTTTACGGACGTCTTAGGAATGGGGTGAGGTCTACAAGACTATGGTCTACAAAAACTCCTCAACTTATGACCGGTTACTTAAGAGACCATTCAAATGTCAGGTTCAGAAGGGTTAATGAAACCAGCCAAACACAGAAAGAGTTTGTAAATGCAGTTTGTATTCTTCCTTCGGCACAAACTGACCAACAAAGCACTAAGGCAATGAATAAATTGTCAGAGCTTCCCACCACCTTTTATAGCTACATTGGTAATTAAGATAAGCAGCACATCCATCACCTTGTGAGCCAGAGCAAACCACCCGGCAATTAATCATGGATTGCTAGCAGGAGTGTCTTCAGCTTGTGTAGGTGGGAGGGTGAGTCTTGGCAGCTGGCCCAGTTTTCTCCCCTGAATGGCAGCTCCAGGCCTCTGGGCTGGCCGGAGCTGACATCCAATTGACGAAGAACCCACCCGGAGGCTAAATAGAGGTAAAGCTAGACTTTAGCAAGGCAGCTGCTAATGAATTTTGCATGACTTTTTTGCCATGTTTTTTAAGTGAATCACTGCGGTTATTAAGCGAATCCTCCTCCCCCCCTCCCTTGGCTTTGCTTGTCAGAAGCCGGCTGGAAAGGTTGCAAATGATGATCACGTGACACACACACACACCCCAGGACAGCGCAACCGTCATAAATATATGCCAGTTACCAAGCACCTGAGTTTTGATCATGTGACCATAGGGTCGCAGGGGTGGGCTGCTGGTGGTTCGCAGGGGTTCAGGAGAGCCTCTAGCTAAGATTCTGTGCAGTTCGAAGAACCCCCAAATCCCACCCCTGGCTGGCCCCGCCCTCCCCTCTCCTCTCAGGAGTCCCCACGCGGCCTGTTTCGGATGCAGGTAAGTGCAGGAAGCACATGGAGGCTTGGGGAGGGTGAAAAACAGACCTACCAGAAGTCCAGAGGGCCTCCAGAGCCCGGGGATGGTGGCCACGGGTACACAGCGGTGAATGCATTGCCGGTGTTAGAGGCAGGGAAATTGCCTTCTAATTGGTCTGCTCAGACCTGTGAAGTCTGTGCTTTGTTGAGAGCTTTGAACGTATTGGACAAGTCCACTTCAGTACATGTAACAGCATGGTCAGTGGGAACCTGCACATATATTACTTTTTCTTGTTTCCTTTCAGGATGTTTGTAATGCACACAATCATAAGCAAGTAATACTGTTTTCAGCTCTATTATCAGCTTTTTCTGATTAGTCCATTTATTGGGCTTATGTGGACATGTATTACAGCCAGACCCTTTGGATATCTGGCTGCCTTTAATACAGCTTTAATCAAATCAACTTGTTTTATCTCCTTTCCTTAGCTAATTATCAACCCTCTTTCCATCCAAATTTCCCCCAAAGTATGTAAAATTCCATATGCACATCTGGAGTCTGTGTAAATGTTGCCAACCTCATTGTCTCCGGACAATAGCAAATCATCTACATATTGTAGCAACTGTATCCCTCTAGGCACCTTAAACATCTCCAAAACCTGTTCTAACATCTGCCCAAATAAATTCAGACTCTGAAAACCCTTGTGGCAAAACACACCATCTGAATTGCTGACTACAGTTAGAATCAGGATCAGACCACTCAAAAGCAAAAATATCTCTTGAGTCTTCAGCCAGCGGACGTGTCCAAAAAGCATCTTTCAGATCTATAACACTGAAATACTTATGACTATGTGGTATACAATACAATACAATAGCAGAGTTGGAAGGGACCTTGGAGGCCTTCTAATCCAACCCCCTGCCTACGCAGGAAACCCTATAACATTTCAGACAAATGGCTATCCAACATCTTCTTAAAGACTTCCAGTTTGGGGGCATTCACAACTTCTGGAGGCAAGCTGTTCCGCTGATTAATTGTTCTCACTGTCAGGAAATTCTCCTTAGTTCTAAGCTGCTTCTCTCCTTGATTAGTTTCCACCCTTTGCTTCTTGTTCTGCCCTCAGGTACTTTGGAGAATAGTTTGACTCCCTCTTCTTTGCGGCAACCCATGAGATATTGGAACACTGCTATCATGTCCTTCTTTTCATTAAACTAGACATACCCAGTTCCTGCAACCGTTCTTCATATGTTTTAGCCTCCAGTCCCCTAATCATCTTTGTTGCTCTTCTCTGCACTCCTTCTAGAGTCTCCACCTCTTTTCTACATCCTGGCAACCAAAACTGAATACGACTAAGAAGAGCATAAGGGTTTGGCACAACAGGATGACAGCTAGCAACAATACTATTGATCCGTCTCAGATCATGACAAATTCTAATTGATCCATCAGGTTTCCTAACTGGCAATATAGGCGTCCCTTTTTTTCATTGTCATTGTTATTGTTAAGGGCCAGTAAATGAATGGTTGCAAGTCGAGGACACCTGCCTGACCCAGATTCGACGTTCCAACGTTCGCCCTCTACCTCCGTGTGGTCACGTGACTGAACTTCAGACCCGTCCTTTACTTCCAGTTTTTGGCAAAGCAACGCCTGGAGCGAACCATTGGTTGGCTTCACGACTAGAGAGTTTGCATTAACCGCTTTACAAGTGCGACACAAAAAGGTTTCCACCTTTTACCTGTTTTATAACCGTCACAACTTAACAACCGTCATGACCAGGCCCCGTTTACTGTCATAAGTCGAGGACTCCTTGTAAAATCAGGGCAAAATATCAAATGTGTCTCCTCAGGGGAAGGAATACCTACTTTGAGGCTGATGTCCGAGCCCTGTTGCTTCATCAACCAGAAGGTCACAGCTCCCTTCCCCACACAGGCAAGCTGCCCCACAGAAAGGGGATTAAAAGCCAGGTCGTGGACGGGCTCAGCAAGACGGGTGGAGGACGTGAGGTCGTAAGTCTGGGTGTTCCACAAGGCAAGGACTCTGTCTACATAATCTCCTGCAGGCACAGAGGTAGATGCAAATCTGTTTTTAAACACATACATGGATTTATTTATGAAATCTCGATGCCTAACAAATCTGGACTTCTTCCTAGTATCTAGGCAAACTTCTCATATTCAAAATAAATAGCACAATCACTTAGACTTATTTTTTGGACTATAAGATGCACCAGTGTGTAAGATTTCAAAGAGGTAAGTAAGAAAAAAAAAGGTTTTGTCTTACCCGGCCCTCAGCAGCACTCTGCAGGCTTCTGCAGGGCTGGGATAAGGCAAAACCGCTCCCTTTTTTCACCCATTTTTCACAAAAATGGGATGCAGGGGCAGGGTTTCGGGATGCCAAAAATAGCTGTATGTGGTGTATGCACAAATATTTGGTGGTGCACAAATATTTACATGCTCTTTTGAGGGTGGGAAGTGCATCTTATAGTCCGAAAAATATGGATGGAAAGCTGAGTTAAGCTTGAGCCAGTGAGAATCCAACTGCTGGCAGTGGGCAGGTTTAGCCTGCAAGGCTGCATTCTAACCACTGTGCGAGCATGGCTCTTAATCATTCATAAATGTTCATTCATAAAACATGTATGAGAAAGATATTAAATCCAACCCAGCAATTTTTAGTTTTGGAAACTTTAATGTCTCTGTAGATTCTCAATGATCTTGTCCCAAAGGTGGGTTTTCAAAAGGCAACTGGACTTCCATGGATTTTTTTTTTCTTTGAAAATGTTTCACTTCTCATTCAAAAGCTTCTTCAGTTCTGACAAACTGAAGATTAATTGAAGAAGCTTCTTGGACAAGAAGCGAAACATTTTCAAGAGGAAAAAAAAACCAAAGTCAGTTGCCTTTTGAAAAAAAGCACCTTTCGATTTAAGATGTGTGAAGTTCAACTCCTAAAATCCCCCAGCCTGCTATGAAACCCACACGTCTAAAAGGGAAAATGTTGCATATTTAAAGGCCCACTTGCAATTTTTGGAAAAATGAAGAACTAAATTAAATATCTAGCTTTCAGCCAGGATGCCCCAGCAAGTGTACATTCCTTGGTTCGAACTAAAACCGACAAAAATGCACACAGACGTACACGTCGCAATTGTTCATGAGATTCACTGGTGGGATACCTGATGCCTTCTCATCCCCCTTGGCTATATACCAACCTAGAGTGACAAGGAAGCGGTCGTCTTGAGAATATGCCATGGCTTGCACTTGGCTTTCATGATGGAAGAGGATTTTTTCACAAGTCCTGTTCTGTATGTTCCAGATGCAAATTTGACACCGCAGATCTCCACCGCCCTGGGCAGAGGCAGAGGCAAGAACCTGGGGAACAACAGCCCATGTTATCAGGGAGATCCCAGGGAAGAGCTAGGACAGTGATGGCGAACCTTTTAGACATCGAGGGCCCAAACTGTGCACGCACGCATGCCCAAACTGAAAGGTGTGTGCACACCCAGACATGCACGTGTGTGGGCATGCATGGATATGCGCACATGCATAGCAGGGACCCAAAGACCAGCTGGCCGGCAGGGCATCCCAACACCGTCAGCGTGGCAAGAGGTAAGATCTTTTTCTTTTATGAGCTTCTGTTTCGGCGTTCAGAAGCTCACAAAAGAAACGCCATGGAGATCTGACCTCCGTGGCGCGCATGCCAGCAGAGAGGGCTCTGCGTGCCACGTCTGGCACAGGTGGCACAGGTTCGCCATCATGGAGCTAGAAGATTAACTGTTTAACGAACAGGATAAGGCAATTAGGATTTTAAAAAAAATCAAGCAACTGAAAGCCACACAGAGGGAGAGAGAGAAATGGGGATAAAATGAGTCTTTAATGCTGCTCAAAACCACATACAGACCAAGGACTGTGATGTCCCTGGGTCTCGAGATTAAGAAACCCACAGGCAGTTTCCAGCAGGGCTAAAGTATATTAAGATACAGTTATTGTTTTAACAATTTTTCCCCCCAGTAGCAATGTGTGGCTGTGAAAGTTGGTCTATAAGGAAGGCTGAGCGCCAAAGAATGGAGGCCTTTGAANTAGGATAGGATAGGATAGAATAGAAGAGTTGGAAGGGACCTTGTAGGTCATCTAGTCCAACCCCCTGCCCTAGCAGGACACTACACCATTTCTGACAAATGGCAGTCCAATCTGTTCTTGAATGCCTCTAATGATGGAGCTCCCTCTCTTCTCTATGGCAGCCCCTCAGATACTGGAATACTTTATGAACAGGAATAGACTGGACAGAATCATGATGGAGCAAAGGTCACAAGATTTACAAAGCAGTTGCTTTATCTGTATTTTTATGTTCTCCTTTTTCCTTTAAAGAATAATTGAATTCAGAAAGAAAGAGAGCAAAGGTCTGCAGCAATGCTAAGGCAACACTTGGTGACTGCTGGAAATGCTGAGAAAGGTATCAGGATGGGCGAAAGGCACAGCATGAACACTGCTAGAAAGTGTGTGCTAAGGCAATATAAAAACAGTTCTACTTGAAACTGCTATAGAAAGTGATAGCTGACAAAATAGTGGCAAAAACTGTGGTGATGATAAACTGACTGCCAAGCAGTTGAGGAAAATCAGGCACTGCTAAACTAAAAACGTTACTCACAGCTTCTCAGGTTATGGGGAATGATCTCCTGGGGCTGATGAGTAATTCTAAGAGGGATAGAAATTGTTCAAGCTTGCACAGATAAAACAGGAACACTACCAAAATGTTCTCCCATTCAGTCTGAACAAGTATTTAACCGGACATAACAGAACATGGTCTGAAAAGACTCCAGCTATACTTCATGAATTAGGAGCAGGAAGACCCGGGTTTAAGTCTGCCCTCAGTTACAGAGTTTAGGGACTTTCTCTCAGCCTGATCTATCACAAATGGTTATTGTGGGGAAAAGTAGGAGGAATCATCTTGATCTCCTTAGAGGAAAGTGCGATAAAAATTTGCTCATGCCACCATACATCTAACAGTTGGGACATACTTGCTTCCCCATCCCCAATGCCTCATTTGTAACTTTCTCCTCCAAAAAGCTGGAGGCCTTCCAAAAAGCTGGAGAGTGGCCCAGGTTGTCAAAGATCTCAAGAATAAAGGCAGGTAAGTGCCATTCCACTTCTCCTTGGCTCCACCTTCCTCTAGACAGTTAGCAGACGTCACTCGGGCAGAACAGAAAAGGTTCTGTTTGCATACCTGACCTAGAGAAGATCTGATAGATGTGGGGAGAAGGTGGTGGTCATCACCAAAATCACTGCCACAGTGTTCTGCTCCCTAGGTAATGGTACCTACAGCTATCTTCAACAAGCTGGCTATCTGGGAGAGGCTGAAACAATTATAGCAGTTTCCACACTGAGCAGAGCAGAAGCAAATGAAGCATTGTTCCAACACTGAATCAGCATGTTCCCACACGTAGCAGACACTGATCCTCTAGGGTGAGAGCTTCTCTCTGAGTTTTTTTTTTCTCTGTGAAGAAACCCTAGGAAGAAAATATAACATTTGGATTGTCCCTTCAAATATTTCATACATGGACTTCACGGAAACAAGAATGCACCTCCACAAAAGACAGGAGAAAAGAGAAAAGAGACTGTCCTCAGTTTCACCATCACCACCACCAAAGCTGGACCCAAGGAAGTGATGACCAGGGCACTTGTCTAGAGAAAAAGTGCAGCTTTCTACAAATAGGTTCTTCCTGCAAGTCAAGAACTTGAAAATATCAGATTATATGTCTAACAATACACTTCTTCCCAGAATCCCAATTTGGACTGATTTCTGAGGATCAGGGAATTCCACGGTTAAGCTAATTACTTCTTTATCCGAATTGTCACTATGGGACCTGTTGGACCTATTTTTCCATCTAAGTCAAGTAGTTCAGAGAAAAACAATGTATTTTGTTTATTTTGAAAATTAATAAGGATCATAAGTATTCCAAGAAAGAGTAACAGAGAAATAAAAATGTTAACACATGAATTTCGATAGTTTATTTAAAATGGATTTTCCCTTTAGAGCCCCACAGCTTTGTTTAACCCATGGCCTGTGTCTTATTCCACTGATGGGACCTCCCTTACCAATCCTTCTTGGTCCTTTTTCTCCTTTCTCTTATAGAGTGACAGCATTTGTCTCTAGGTTTCTATTTTGTCCTCTATTCTCCTCTGACAGGAAGCCCTGCTTGCCTCATGGTATTGTTAGTGTTTTAAGACTGACGCTACCTTTTCCAAATATCACAAAGTTCTCCTTATAAAGTTTTATTAAGATAAAAGAGTAGGCATACAAGAAGTTCTACAATGGAATTATTTTGACTTGTCTGTGTATATTAGGGCAGAGGCTTTCTGTTTCTTTTGCACAAATTTTAAATGGACCAGTGAAGAGGTATGTCTCTTCACTGACAACAGTAACGTTTTTAAACGTTTATATTACCACCTCTTGAATTTTTATCATTCTGGGAATCAACTCTTACAAATTGATTGGAAAAAATAAAAGGAAAAGAAGAAATGTCATGTCCTAATATGTTTCTCACCTCAGCTTTATTCTACGATTCTTTTTAAGTAAAGTAATGCTGTTTTAAGATATAATATTATAGTTAGGGGAAAAGAGGCCAGGCAAAGGCCAGCGTACAAAGTGGGGAGGGGGGAATGCTCAACAGTTGATTTAAAGAAAAATCTGAACAGTTTAGTTATTGTATTGTTAATAAAGTATTTATAAAACAACACAATTAAAATATAAATACCCTGTTTCCCCAAAAATAAGACCTCCCTGGATAATAAGCCCAATTGGGATTTTGAATGCATATGCTAAAATAAGCCCTCCCCCCAAAATAAGCCCTCTCCAAAAATATTGCAACACAGCAGCAGCCATGAGGTGACCACGCTAGCTGCCTCCTGCACCTCAAAAATAATAAGACCTCCCCGAAAATAAGGCCAAGTGCTTATTTCAGGGGTCAAAAGAAAATAAGACCCTGTCTTATTTTCATTCTTATTCCTATTCTTCATATGGAAAGGAAGCTAAATTTGTTTTCTAATGTCTCCAGGGAAGACTGGAAAAAAATCCTGTCAAAAGCCTAGGAAATTCCTCCCAACCAACACAGGTAGCCCTCAACTTACAACCATTCGTTTAGTGACGGTTGAAGTTTAAACAGCACTGAAAAAAGTGACTTACAACTGTTTTTTCACACTTGCAGCATCCTCCCTGGTCATGTGATCAAAATTCGGGAGCTTGGCAACTGCTGGGGTCAACATATAGCTCAGGGTTAAAATGAGGAGTCCTTGGTATTCTCTGAGCTTGGTGGTTTTCTTGCAGACGTTTCATTACCATACTAAGTAACATCATCAGTGCCCCCTGATGACGTTCCCTACTTTGGGTCATGAAACATCTGCAAGAAAACCACCAAGCTCAGAGAATACCAAGGACTCCTCATTTTAACCCT